AAAGGAAAGGAAAGGAAAGGAAAGGAAAGGAAAGGAAAGGAAAGGAAAGGAAAGGAAAGGAAAGGAAAGGAAAGGAAAGGAAAGGAAAGGAAAGGGAGAGAAAACGAGAGCCCAGACAGGGTTAAAAATCCCTCTGGAGAGGAGATGTGGGGAGAGACTCACTCTTGCAAGGACCTGTCCAGGTCATCAGCAGTGGCCGTGCCCAGGTCAGAGTCACAGGACAGTGGCTCCTCGCCGCGCTCGGGGCTGCGGGCGCAGGGYGCCGGGGGGAGGCTGTCGGAGCCCAGGCTGGACGAGAGTTGCGATGAGCTCGTGGTGTTGAGGCTCAGCGAGGACGACGTCAGCTTCATCTTGCTGCTGGCCTTGCTGATGGGCAGGACAGGGGCTTGGATCTCAATCTCATCCGAGCCTGAGGACTGTGAGATGGAGCCTAGTGATGCCTTTCTGCGGGGCTCAGCGGCYGAGGGCGCCGGGGACTCCGGCAGCTCGGACACGGGACACAGCCCTGACAGCGACAGTGGGGTCACGGTCCACTCGTTCAGAACTGCCGACTTGTAGGACAGCTCGAAGGTCARGGACGACAAACCCTGCAGGTAGCAGAGCAGGAACTCGCACTCCTCAGCGTCCAGGAGCAGCGCTGGTGCTTGGTAGTAGTCGGGCAGGCGGGCGTGGTCGCGCAGCAGCAGCTTCAGGTAGCACTCCATGAGGCCGTCGTTGAGCGCCAGCCGCAGCCATGCACGGCAGCGCCCCACATCCGTGTTGATGAACATCAGCTGCTCCAGCTCCGAGACGATATTCCTGGGGAAAGGCAGGGAAAGGACAAGGCAGGAGTGAGCTGGGAGGAGYTGGTCCATTTGGGGCACAGCCTGTGTCAGGCACTGCCCAGCCTGATCTGCTGTAGGGAGTTCAGGGCTGGGATAAAAGCGGCCATGGAAAATTTCTGTCCTTGGTGGAAAATGTGGTTTGCCATGGAGAAAAATAACTCCTGAATTCCCCAAAGCTAAATATGGTGGTGAGGACCCAGGGTTTTGGGGCACCTCTGGCTGGTCCTCCTCATACTGACTGGAGGCACCTCCCACCCATGGCTCACAGCTGGATCACCCATGGCTCACCCATGGATCGAGGATGCAGAGGGGACAATTCCTGTTGTCCCTGGGTGTTCATGGGGTTTGTGCTGGCTGGAGTCTTCTCAGTAACAACCACGTGTCTAAATCCTCACTTCAAATTTAAAAGCAGCCAAAACACAGTGAAAACTGTTGTGGCAGCCCCAAAAAATCCAACCTGGCTGGGGTTGAGCTCAGGTAATCCCAAATTCCTGAATTCAGCTGCTCTTCCCTGAAATCCAACAGCGACACCATGCTCCTCGATCCTCCCTGCTCCCAGCAGACACCTCACAWACCAGAGCAAAGGTTCTGTGTGATTTCTTTTTTAATCTGTCTCTCAAGACAGAAGAAAAAAACCTTCAAAGGGCACAAAAATATCCCCCGTAACATGTGAAAGAGTTATTTTCATCCACTCTTTCATAATTCAGGAGTCGCTGATGGAGGGAATGTTTCAGAACAATTTGTGTGTGGGCTGTTATTTACTGCGGGTGAACTTGACTGAGGGAGTGGCTCAGAAAAACCCCAGTAAATAGTGATCAGCTAAGAGAGACCTCCTCAAAGGCTGGTTGGGATGTGGGGAAACGGGGCCAAGCAGCCCCAGTGGATCTGGGTCAGGAAAGAGCCCAGATACCTGGGCTGTCGGACACCAGTGTGGTCACTGGGCTTCCACTGGGCCCAGAAATAAATAAGAAACTCTGCCTTCAGTTTCATTCCTCAGCTGTTTGGGGACATCAGCTCAGCCCCAGCACATGCTGGGAGGGGCCATGGGGGCCCAGCCCCTCCTGGCACCGCAGGAGCTTCACTCTGCCACCCCCATCCCCCTGGGCAGCCGCCCTAGACCCTGTGAGAGCATCTCTCCCTGCAGCTGAGGGGMCTGAGAGCACACAGGTGGGGTAGAGACACATCTGTCCATCCTCTTYGTTCCCTGAAGGCAATGGCACTAATGGAATGGATAAACCTGAGRGTGTCAACACTGTCAGCAGCAGGAGCCACTCACCGGTGCGTGATGCCCTTCAGCAGGCCCCAAAACACCGGCTGGGGGAGGGGGCCCCGACCCCCTGACTTCTTCCCTTTGCCCCCAGCCTCTGCCTTGATGTGCTTGGCCTTGAGCCCGTGCACGAACACAGCTTCCAGGGCGCTGCAGAGCGCGTTGGCATTGCTGTCATCGCTGGTGACCGCGGCGTCCGAGCTGGCGTACTGCTTCTGCAGGGCCTTGATGGCGTTCACCAACTGCTTCTTGATCAGCTGCCAGGCACCAGGGGCATGTTGGAGATACAAAAGTGAAAGAATTAGGAAGGATTTTGCATAGAAGAGCTCAAAAAACAGCAAGGYTCATCCACGGCGAAGCGCCACGTGACTCCTGCCTCATCCTCACCTTTCGCAGCTGCCGAACTGGTCAAGCTGCGGACTCACCCTCCTGGCATCAGGCTTATTTTGTTATTATAAAAATTATTATAAAAATAACAAACTA